TGTCCCTCCTGACTCTGGCTTGCACCTGTCCCTCCTGACTCTGGCTTGAACCTGTCCCTCCTGACTCTGGCTTGCACCTGTCCCTCCTGACACAGACCAGAGTGAACTGTCTCCTCTGGTGCAACAGGCTTTCACACAGCGGACGGGCTGGAGCATGAGCAGCTGAGTGAACGCCCAGTGTTCAGTGAAGACAGACGCCTCCTTACAGCAGGTAGGAAAACTAGACACTTTACTCAGCAGAGTAAAAGTAGCAGATCTCTTTGCATCGACTTGTTTATATTACAAAACTTTACACCATATTCAGCTTCCATTTTAAATATCGAATAACTCCTTCTGTTATTTTTAATGACCGACTTTGAAGGAACCTCACAAAAGTAATTTAATTTAAAAATTCAAAAGATTTTCAGTCTAAGAAGTGTTTGTTTTTCCTTACTGTCATTTAACAGAAGTTGTTTAAGGTCATGTAGAAACACCACCTGGTGTTTGAATTTGTCCTGAAAGAAGTGAGTGAACCTGTTCACAGCTTTTCTGGACCAACTCTTAGATGAAACTAAAGTCGTATAATTTTTTGTCTGTGTTTTTCTTTACAACTCCTCTAGGCTTTGTACCTTCACATTCAGAGTTCATGTTTCTTCTCTACACGATTAGACTTTTTAAGTTCTAAGATGTTAGGCGTTTGTTGAAGCACGTAAACAGCGTTAGCTTCAAATTCCCTGAAGATTTATTGTGTGAACACAAAGCAACGCTCGCACATTTTTCTGAAGTCCTGATGAAATGTAAACCTTAGTTAGACAAAAAACTGACCCTGAACCAGTTTTAACAGGTTTACATAAAACCACAGGTGGTACGTGTTGTTTCCCAAGGGCCACTAATCAGGTAGTTAGGGAAGAGAAAGGGTGAAGTGAGAAGGGTAGATCTATTTACTGGTCAGCTGGTTAGTTAAACTAATTACTGCAATCAAAAATCATCAGGCAGCCTGAGCATGGTGCTACATGTGACACCCCACCTGTGGTGTCCAGTCCTGGTCCTGGAGGACCACTGTCCCTGCTCAGGGTCCGCTCATCTCCTCAGCAGCTCTGCATTCTTCACTTGTTCATTCCAGTGTGGGACTCGTCCTCTGAAGCAGAGAAACATGTACGATATGTGAGATAGGACCACCCTTGTGTCAAACAGCACCCTGAGGGCACAGGAGCTTTTTTTGTAAACGGCAGACGTGAGTTAACTGAAGTTTTAGTCCAACTTTTAAAAGAACTAACTCTACCGGGGAAATGGGACAACTTTGGGATTAAAAACGTTGTGAGGGTGCTGAAAAGGTTTGGACTGATGTCACATATAATGCCATGAGGGTTGGCTCGAATGTTTCAGGTCCATTTTTAGTATATTTTAATTTGTATGAGTTATAAACTGTTGTAAAGAAAACCCAGAACATGAATCAGTCATTGGCCGTTTAGTTTCTAAAGATCATAATCAGCTGACCTGGAGACCTGGAACAGGTCAACAGGGTGCTTGTTGTCAAAAACTGATTAAAGAGCTTGTCTGCCAACATCAAGCTAACTCTTGTTGTTCATTCATTAGAGGCTGTTTTTATGAGTGTAAATAAATAATCAAACTAATAAAAATCATGTTCCTCAGACCATGATGCTTTCTTTTGTTTAATCAATCAATTCACTTTGGAACCACGGCCGGCTTGGGTTTAACTCTGAAGTGTAAGGTGAAGTTTAAATAAACCAGTTCAGTTTCATAATGCTTTTCAAATCCAGCAAAATGTAAAAACAATAAGAGCATTTGCAGACGTCCCTTTGGATCCACTGAACTTGTTTCGTTTGTGCGTTTGCAGGTGAATGGCGCGGTGTCGCTGGCGCAGAGTGCTGCTCTGTTTGTGCATGCCATGCTGCTTCCTGGTCTTCCTCTACATCTCCCTGGGAGTCTTGATAGTTATGAACATGACTTCCACGGCAATACAACCTGCCATTAAGCCAAGTCCAAGTTATTTTATAGCTCCAGTCTCTTCAGGTAATGCCAGCGTTGCTCATGTCCCCAAAACCTTCTGGGAACAACACGTTCATGATGACGCCTTTTGGAACAAGCTCCAGAGATCCGTTGACCACCACTTTAACCACATTCTATACCCCAACATGGCCAAGAAGGCGTCAGACAGAAGCAACTTTAGCGACTACTTGCTGAAGGAAACCTTCTCAAAGATCATGAGCACAGAAATAATGAAGAACTTGGAAAAGCTACCAATGGACATACAAGACTTTATCACCAACATGCAAAGGAGGGACTACCCTGTGCTCATCCAACCACGCGGAGTATGTGGAGTTCGGGGAACGAATGAGAGGGAGCCCCCTCTCATTCTCTTGGCCATCAAGTCAACAGAACTGAACTATAAGAACCGGAAAGCCATTCGAGAGACTTGGGGTCGGGCGGGATGGGTCCAGGGACAGAAAGTCAACAGCAGCAACAAAGAGCTAGTTGGAGGATACGTTCGAAGAGTGTTCCTGCTTGGCAAAGAAAGTTCAGCAGATATGGATGTGGATATATCCGATGTCCTGAGGATGGAGAGTCAACGGCATGGAGACATTCTGCAGTGGGACTTTAAGGACACATTTTTCAACATCACTTTGAAGGATGTGCTCTTCTGGAGCTGGTTCGCCCACCACTGTGATCAGGCTCGCTTCATCCTGAAGGGAGACGACGATGTCTTTGTCAACACCCCAAAGCTGATTGCCTACCTCCACCATCAGTTTAAAAAGCCAGAAGTCAGCAACAGCATGGAAGACTTCATGATGGGAGAAGTTATCATGGCTGCCCAACCTAATCGAGACAAAAGGTCCAAGTACTTTATCCCACCCGGCTTCTACAAGGGGTTCTATCCTATGTACGCAGGCGGGGGAGGGGTGGTGTACTCGGGCCTGCTGGCAAGGCGTTTACTGAACATATCTAGAACAGTTCACCTGTTCCCCATCGACGATGTCTATGTAGGAATGTGCATGGTTCTGCTCAATGCCCACCCCCTGCACCACCCTGCCTTCCTCACCTTCGACCGATCTGAGCAGGAAGAGGATGAGCTGTGTTCGTACCACACCATCCTGTTGGTCCACAAGCGAAGCCCAAAACAGTTGGTGCGACTGTGGGCCCACATAAAAAAGACACAAGAACAATGTCAGGACGTTCCACTAAGAGACACGAAGAAAACGGTGGCAGCCTCTGCTAACTGAGCTGTGGAGAAGTTAGAGCAGCGTGTGAACACACTGCCTCGGTCGTGACTCAGACGTCACGTCCACCGACATGATGGCAGCGTGCCGAACGCACACAAACCTACAAACTGTATTAGCGAAGGACTGGTAGAGTTCAGATATCAACAGTATAAACTGTGAACATGCTCAGGTCACTGTTGAAAACTCCACGCATGTTGTTTGTATTCATCTTTTGTCATCCCAATCATGAGGAGTCTACGTCGAGTGACAAACTAAACTAGAAGCACAACAAGAAGAATTCAAGAAATCTTTCTTCAACAAAGAATAATTTGTCCAGAGGAACGGACTGAACACTGTTAAACTGGAAGCAGTTTTCTCAAGGACTGGGGTGGCTGGTTTACATATGGGTGGTGGCAGCCATCTTGGATTTTAACATGACAACCCAGTTTTGAACAGGACCTTCTTACACCTACATGTGGTCGCACATCAAAATGGAAACTCACTTATTCTCCAAGTTATCATGCTCACAAAATGACGGACGGATGGAGGTGGGAAAAGATGTGGGACCAAAAAATAAAATAAATTAAAATAAATCGTACAACCTGATGTAATTTTCTTGGCCAGACTCAACACATTCCTGGTGTTGAGATATTTCATCCTTCAAATAAAGTATCTTGTGTGAATGAACGACTCGTCATCTCGCTCTGTTTGGTAAAATGATGCACATTACAAATGTAGAGGGAAATGACTTTTTATTAGGACTTTGAGCCGTTTTAATTTAAGAAAGGCGTTTCTTCGAACATGACAGCAGGCACCTTGCTCAGAACCCGTTTCTCCAGATACCTTTGTAATAAAATTCATGTTGTGCTTCTTACTGAACTGGTTCCAGTGACATCACAGAGAAACTGTCAGCTATTGTTGCAGCATTTAACCTCCTGAGACCCTGCGTCCTCATGTGACATCACATTCTGCCTTTGCTGTGCCTTCTCCTTCACTCTGTTCAAGTGTTTTATACTTTGTTAACCACGTTAATGTCATGCTGTAAAATTATCTCACTGTCCCCATCTGAGGCCTTTTTTTAACAGAAGAATGTCATAACCATAAACTCCCTGTTGGAAGAGGAAGCTCGATTTATGCACAGATCAGGTCCATGTAATCACAAATATCTGGAAGATGAAAAATGCATCGCAAGCCAGAGCTCAGGTCTCAGGTTAAATAAAAGTTTTTGCTTTTCAGCGCTGAAAAAATGAATCCTCAAATTAACCATGAAAAATATTTAAGAAAATGTGCTGTGAATAACTTGAATACAAATTGCTGACCAGCTACAACTGCAGGGTTTTCAACGAAGATCTCGTGTAGAAAGTGGTTTCAGGTCAAAGGTCAACATTGAGCACAGTTTGACACAATATAGAAAGTCCTCATACGATCCATTCGTACTTCACGCACACGTTTGAGTTGGGAACGACGCACAGCTAATACCACTCCTAACTTCAGCTCAGTATCTGTTAAAATTATGGAACTAAAACCATTTTTTGTTTGCTAAGGCCAGCCCACTGTGGCAGCCATCTTGGATTGAGTTACTCCTAAAGTTAAACAAAGAAGCAAATCTAGTGGTCGAGTGTTAAAACCTGCACTTTTCAAAGGGTGTCAGCTCAATCATGCAGGTAAACACATCACTAGAAGTTGCATCACATCATCTGGAGACAGGGTGAGCAGTTACAAGATGTGTTGGTGCTCAGTGTGTGGTGGCCAGGACAAAGTGTCACTGGCCTTTCAGGGGGGTTGAACTTTTAAAATGTTATACATTTTTGAGCCCAAAATCAGCAGCTGGGTGAACGGTGACAAGTTTCAAAGACAACACACACACACAGCAGCTAAGATCTGCAGACGTCTACGTGAAATCATCTTGTTAGACTGGCACCTTACAGATGAACACACACACACACACCCACCCCACACACACACACCCACCACACACACACACCACACACACACACCCACCACACACACACACCCACCACACCACACACACCCACCACACACACACACCCACCACACCACACACACACACC